CGCGCACGCGTGCGTGCATGCGTGCACGCGTGCGTGCTTAGCACATGCGTGCAGGCATGGGTGCGGGCATGGGTGCATGCGTCCGTGCCTGCCCGCACCCGTGTGTCCCTGCACGTGCATGCGCGTGGGACTCGCAAGTGTGCGCGTCTGAACTCTCCGCAAGCACAGCTGTGCGCCGGCGCACAGACCACGCCCCCCTCCAGCCCCACCTGTGTCCGCACGTCCTCGCTCAGCGCCAGCTCCAGGGAGCGGCGTATGAGGGCCTCAGAGGGCGGCCACGCCAGGGCGGACAGCAGCTGGGCCTTTTTCGAGGCGGAGCGCTCCTGTGCATGGGTTTGGGTGGGTGGCGAGGGGGAGGGGTTGGATGAAGCGGAAGGGGGTGGCGTGGTACTGCAGGGGGACTTGCGGTTGTTTGGCAGACATGGCAGGGTGGGACGGGGTCGGGGGGCCCGTGGCACGGCACGTGGCCGCCTTTGATGATGCGCGGAGTGGCGGGATGCCCTCTTCCCCGTACCTACCGCCACCTGGCCCGGCAAACGAACACGACACGGCCCTCCCTTGTGACGACGTGCGTCCGAATTCATACTGGTGGTGGTGATCAAGTTTGATCACCACCACCAATATGAATTCGGACGCACGGCTAGGCTGTGTGTGTACTGGCATCAATTAAGGAATCCAAATACATCAAAGATTCCAGGCCGTGTGGTGCTGCTGCCAACATGACAGACATTACTATATGTATACATCCAAACTTGCCTGTTTGTACAGGCGCAGCACTGTCTCGTAGGCCTCCTCCTGCCCCGACAGCACCGCAAGCTTGTACACCGCCGCCCTCACGTCGGGGTGGGGGTCGCCGCCGCCAACCAGCAGCTGCACGGCCGCCTCCACCACCTGCACGGACGCCGGGGCGGCCGTTGGGGCGGAGGGGAGGAGCAGGTTCGGGGCTCAGGGGGGGGGAACAGTCTGCACTCAGCCTAATAGGCCGAGCCCCGGCCCCTGCCAGCCACCTCCTTGCCTTGGCACCGGCCGGCTGAAGGGGACGCCGGCGCTCCCTGCCATGCTGCGATGACACCAGGGCGCACTGCGGCCCAGTGCTGCACCATCATAGGACCATCCCGGGCTGCGGGAGCCGTTGAGCCACGCCAGGTCCAAGGGGCCTAGTACGATTGGTGACACAAGCCCGCTTTGTGCCCCCCCCTCCAACAAGTGTGACACAAGTTGTTGAAGCCCAACAGTCACAAATGAACAAACAAACAGAGAAGCACTGACGAATAGCAACAGACACCACCTACATAACTTGTTCAAATTTTTTTTTGCAACCATCAAAGTCCAAGCGAAATCGCTGCCAATTACCCCCCCCCCCAAAAAAGATGGCCAGCCGGGCGGCCCGCAGCCCACCTTGGTGTCCCCCAGGGCGCCGGCCCCCAGCAGCACCGCCGGCCGCAGCAGCCGCACCTCGGCCGGCTGGGAGGGGTCCACCGCCAGCGACAGCCCCGGGGCCGCCTGGTTCGGGACCGCGACGTTGGCCAAAAACGGGCCTGGAGGACGTGGGTAGAGGGATCGGGGAGGCGGGGAGGCGCGGAGGGGGGGAGAGGGGGTGCAGTGCGTCGAGTTCGCGTGCTGATGTGGGTGGCGAGGGAGGCAGAGAGGCGGGGAGGAGGGCTCTTTTGAGAAGCGAAAAAATAAGCGTGGTGCGACGGGTCCCCGAGCTGGTGCGTTGGGCCGTGGGCGAGAGAGTGGACTGTTGTTGGCAGGGCCCCACGGCCAACACGGCCGTCAGGGAGCAGGGTGAGGGGCGGCGTTTCGCCTGCCGGCAGCTGAAGGTGTCGCCGGCCCGCACCCGTGACGGCGTTTGAGGCATAGCCCCGCAGCGCCTTGGCGCAGGCTGCCCATGTGGCATTCTGCAGCCCAGCGGTCGACAGGATGTCCTGCAGGGCGCGGTTTGGCAGTTGGCGGTCGGCGGTTGGCGGTTGGCAGTTGGCGGGTGGCGTACGGCCACACATCTGGTGCAGGAGGAAGCCTGCCTCCACCCCACGCAACCCAACTTGGGTGCCTGTGGCACCCCAGGCGGATCCAGAAAGGGACTGCTTGACCGATCACTGCCCTTGCTTGCCCGCGCTCCCACATGCGTGTGTGTGTGTGTGTGTGTGTGTGTGTGTGTGTGTGTGTGTGTGTGTGTGTGCGAGAGAGAGCGGGGGGGGGGGTAAGCGTGCCTGCATGCGCCGCAGCCAGCCGATCGCTGTGGTCCAGGGTGCGTACTCGGGCGCTCGCCGCGCCCCCAGGGACTGGGTCAGCCGAAGGAAGGTGGTGATGCGCATCTGGCGGGCCTGGTTGGGGGTGCATTGGTGGATAGGTGAACTGGCAACTTGATGGTCAGCCAACCATTGGTGGATTGCTGGATTGCTGGACTGGTGGGTTGCTGGATTGCTGGACTGATGAATTGGTGAGATGGTGAATGGGTGGATTGGGTGGATAGATGGATGGATTGGGAGGGTGGACTGGGAGTGTGGGTGTAAATGGGGCCAGTTGGGGGGCAAGGGGTGTGTGGAGCACTGTGGTGTGGGGGGGGAGGGGGGGAGGGGGGAGCATTGAAAGGCGTCACGTCCCATGGCCGGCTCGCTGATCAGCATTGCCGGCTAATAGTTCGCGGCCGCGTGGCCTTTGGTTTCGCCGCCGTGGTTCGACCACAAGCAGTGAGAGACTCATACTGCGTCCACACACGAGAATCGGCGATGCAGTAAGGTTGCAACACGGCACAAAGGATACACTGACGGCACCCGCGCGCATGCACCAGCGACCCGGGTCCCTAGGTTACGATTCATCCGAAGCCGCGCCCACCAGCGCGAGCGCGAACGCGTCATCCAGGCTGCCTGCGCCAGGGGGGGTGGGGGGCGGGAAGGGCCCGGGCGGTGAGTTGCAGGAGTGCTGAGCGGGCTCGTGGCACCAAATTCGGCGCAAAAGGATTCCAGGGTAAGCGACCGCGTGAGGCGCCGCAAAAGCAAGGCGGCTGCGGCACTGCCGGTCTGCAGGGATCCAGGGATGTTGTCCAACCCCGGTGGCTATTGAAATCGCGCTGGATTGTCTGGACAGTGCGTGCAGCCGCCCGCTACGTCCCACCCCCGCGCGCCCGCCCCCAACGTCGGCGCGGCGTGCTGTCAGCAGGGCCTGGCCCGCAACGGCGGGCATCGGACCGCCCCCCCCCCCAGAATCAGTCAAGATCCACTGACGGTAATCAACGTACCCCAATCACTCCCCACAACCCCCTCCCCCACAACCCACCCGCCAGGTCAATCTTTGGTATCTTGTTTTCGTCCCTGGCGGCAGCTATGAAGGCCTCCCACAGCGGCTCGCTGTAATTCACCTGCCAGGCCAGGGGCGGGAAGTTCACGGTGCACCGGGAGCGCAAATTCCTAAAGAGTCGAGGCAAGCCTTGTGTGGCAAAAGTCATGATGGTGGCGGCGCGGCAGTGGGGCCGGCGCGCGGGGCCGCAGCGGCACGGACGGGCGCTGCTCCAGCACAGCGGTGGGGGGACCGTTGGCGAGAAGGAGCCGTGGCGGTCAGATGCTGCCAGCTTTGGTGCAAGCCCGATTCGAACCAATCTCAAATATTGATGTCCACGCTGCGAGAGAATTCCCTCGATAATGCAACGACAGGGGCCCACCCTGTAAAACCCGGTGCGCCCCGCGTTCGCGATGAGGAATCCGCCGTCGGGCGGCATGCTGACTGGAAGCGCTGAGTCGCACGTGTTGAAGGCGTGCCACTGCACCCCAGGGGAGGCCTGGGTGAGTTGGAGGGACGGCGTGCTGATGATTACGCCGGCGAGGGACATAATGAGGTGATGCTTATCAACGACACGACGTGATGATGACACACTAGATGGGACAGGTCGACAAGGCGAGGATATGTGAGCCAAGTGGCGGCGGATATACACCTGCCACACGCGCGAGGAAAGGCCGGCTCTCATGCGACGCCCCTGGCACGACCCATCCCCGTCGTCCTGCGCATGCGCACGCATCTGCCTGCCGTGAAACGTGTAAAGCTGCAGCGCCGCGGCGCGCAAAAGAACAGGTTTTAGGGCTGAGGGTTCAAGGGTTTGCCTTCAGCCCACGCGGCCAAGGAGGGGGGATTGGGGGGCCCCTCACCGAGGTTGTGTATGCAATGGGCAGCCACCAGCTGGAGTCTGACGCGTCATCACTCCAGTCATTGCAGTACATGTCCTTTGGGGTTGCGTCATGGGGTTGGGCAGGGGACGGGGGGGAGGGGTTGGAGG